TATCTCTGTTTGAAGGTGCCATCCTCAAGGAATCCAAAATGGTCAATCTGTGACAATTTTAAAAAGAAAGCAAATAAAATAATCACAATCACAAATAAGATAATCACAAGCATCTGTACTTGGCAACTGTGCGAGAAGCATCTTGAAAAGAGCACCATGAGGTATAGACGGAAACTAGGAAAATATGAAAATAGTGATTAGCATTCAAAGTGGTTTTAAATTGGTAATTTGATCCACAAACTGGCAAAAGAAAACCTTTGGGGGATTGGTCACACTTGTCATCAGACTAAAATGATGGGGATGCAGTCCAGTGAGCAGAGCCTGCTTTGGGGTAGGTGTAATCACTGGATACCTGGCTGTGTGCCAGCTATGATGTTTGGAAATGACAGCTCTGAGGTTGGATTCTGGGGTAATTAGCCCCAATTTGTATTTAAAAATGCTGGAGCCACTTTAAGCGATGCTGCATTAGTTCCACTTAAGATGAGCTCTGAAATATCCTTTCATAAAACCTCAGGGATTCTGGGATATCTTCTCCTTTCAACCATATTTCCTGTATTCTTTATTAAACAAAGGCAGAAAGAAACCAACAACTTCACAGAGAAGACGGCCCCATGAGGCTACTGAGTCGTCCAACCCTTTAAACAGCCCCCCATTCTTACATACAAAATGTTTCGGTTTTGTTTTTCCCCTCGTTCTCGCTCTGTTCCCTCCTCGTTGGATACAAAGCAGGCAGCAATTTTATGAGCCAATGACAGCAAAAAGATTCTGGGGCCACAATGTGTTCATTCAACCCACGACTCCTTCACACTTGGCAGTGCTTTAAGTGTGAGGGGATCATGAGACAGTTAGTTTAAAGGAAAAGTTCAGCAGCTTGGCAGGAAGGTAGTAGGCAGTAGTATTGTGCAACTGAAGTGTAATGTTAGACTTTTTTGGTAAAAGCATTTGAGTTACCTTGTGAGTTTTCATTTATTCCTGCTTTTCTTTTATAAAAGTTACATGTCAATCTCATGTAATGCAGAAAAACCCCCATAAAGAACTGCTCTCTAAATGGCAAAACTAAAGTGGCTGTATATATTAAGACCAAAAGAACCCCTGGTGAGTACTGTATCAATTGCACCCACTCAGTATGCACATCACAAAGCCTATGAGACTGGTTTCATAAGAGAACCCCACCCTGGTAAGTAGTGCCACCATGTGGTGCAACCAAGCAGCAACTTGTTTTTTTGAATTAAAATTCAAACCATGTGCCGCACATCTATGAGATCGCTATGTTAACAACTTGACAAGACAGGAGGCTGCATCTGTTGTCCGGCAAATGGAGACATGAGGGAAACAACTTAAGAACAAGCTCCGCTAAGGTTCATCAAAAGGATGCTAAATGACATTTCCATTCATTGTCTAACGGCAGACTGCAGTCCAGAGGATTTCCTGATGATGAATGCTGGTGCTCTCTTCACATCAAGTTTCAAAGAAAAGGGAATAAAAATCAGCATGGCTTGTTTCTTGTTTCTTGATGTTTCTTTTGTGCTAAAAGAGACTAGCTGCTAGTACTAAAAAGTGGTTTACAGTAAACGGATTTCATTTCTCCTATTTGTCCAGAAGAAGCATACAATCTCTTGTTGCTTGGCTAAATAACCCACATCAGACGGGACAGTGGGTGTCAGAAAGGAGGAAATGGCCCTTATCTTCTTGTCAGCTCGGCTGATTACACAGGATGCTGTGGGTGGGACCAGGTGTGGAGCATTGTCCTCTAACCCAAACACTCTTTAGCACAGACACATTATTTACAGTGTGTACCTACTACTTATTAATACATCTACAAATTTTCTTCTTAGTCTACATGTAGATCATGTTCTTGGCTAACTGGTTGGTTCATTGTTTTATTAAATATTAAAAATACCCACACTAATGTTCACTGTAACAATTCCCTAAAGAATAAAGTGACATCACTACTTTCCTATGTTTTTAGCAATTCATAAAAAGAGGATTTAATTTACTATATTATAAAGCAAACAGTCACATCTGAGAGCCTAGCCATGGCCATTTTTTCTTACGTATTTAAAAATTGCCACAACACTCAAAACTTTTATCAGTATTGTAACTTTCTTATATGGGTTTTGGAATGGGTTTAACTAACTGTCATCCTATTGTAAATATAACCTCATTAAATAGGGGTAAGCACATATGAAACAATTATAATTTGTATTACGTTTGTGTAGCATCTAATAATCAGTGTATCAAAGTATTTGTTTTATGGTCAATAGCGAACAAGTCATAATGATTCTGACTAATCAGAGCACCAAATTGTCCAATACTATTCAGAGGTTTAGCTTCCATAGCCTGACTACAAGGGCAGGAGAATGAGACAAGCAACCTGATGGTTGTTGTGTAGCACTGCATACCTGCTAAATGTAACCTTAATCTCTATAAAGTAAATAGTGGGAACATGTAAAAGCTGAGTGAAGATCTTTCAACCCCCCCTGAGGTAAAATGTTTCACATTCACTGAGCCCTAGAGACCTCTTTAGGCAGGGAGCCAGGAAGGATAGTTACAGATCTGCTGGCAGGAACAGAGCCAATTGTGATTTGGTTTTCCCTTCACTACAGGAAGCCAGATGAAAACACCTATTGTCTGCAAACACAACACATGGACCTTATAGAATTAAGTGCAGTGGGAATTTTAGAAAGAGCAAGTGGTACGATTATTTGCACACTAAACAATCAAGTAACATACTGTAGTGGCATAAAAAGGTGGTCAATGAGAGTAAGCATCATTTGATGAGGTTGTTTGTTTGTTTGTTTTTAGAAAACTTTGCTTTATCTACAAAGCAGTGGGATCATTTCTCTTTTGCACCATTAAATCCACTCCCAATAAGGCACAATTTGTGTATTTCATGGGGAAGTGAAAGATAAAGAAGTGAAAGAGGAACACAACAGTGTAAAATTGGACAAATAGGTATAAAATAAGACAAAAGGTACATTTTGATCAATTTAAACTCACCTTCTGATCAAAGTAAAATGTTTTATAGCTGACTGGAGGCTCAGTGGAGTAAGGCAGCCCACCCAGCCTGGTAAAAAGTTGCGTTTTGAGAGCGGTCACGTGTAAACAGACAAAACACAACGTTAGGATGCAGGTAGCTGCGGCTCTGTCCAAAACCTTCTCTCCAGTCCTCATTGCTGTAACTGTCACACTCAGCGCACAACAAACTGGTCTTCAGCGCATGATTAACGGGGTTCCATGAGCTGTGTGTCTGTGCCTGCAGTGGGATAATTGAGGAAGACTTGTCCCGATAAAGAAAGGAAGTGAGACTACCCTGTCAGCAGATCCAGAGAGGTGTTGCTGTGCAGCTCGTGTCCTAAATTTAGCATCAGACTTGAGGCTGTCCGGAGATGGGCGGGAAACATCAGGTTCAAAGTCTAAAAAATGTTTTTAATAAGTTTGATTTAGCTGCAGTCAGCTCGATGTCTTGTGTTTATGGAGCAGACAGCAGATGGTTCCGACTGTAGACAGTTCGCAATGGCTGGTGGGAGTTTGAGTTCTAGTTGGTCACTCAGCGGCTGATGGTTTTAGTATACGTATAGTATAGTTTAGTATAGTTTTCAGTATACGGAATTTACACTAGAAACATTCTAGTAATAATACTACGTATATTTTCTCTCTTAAGAGAGCGTTTCAGATACCTGCCAAACATAATGCGGCTAATTAAGTCAAACATGATGATGATTCCGCACTAGGCACGCTTAAGTACCGTGTGAAATTGCCGGAAATACGTCACAAAATTATGCGCTTGACTACCTATAGTTATTCCAATTTCTGAAGAAATATTAATTACTGTAATAGTGGCAAAGTACTCGTTACGTCCTCAAAGTTACGCTACATTGATGGCTACTTCCGGCCGTGCTTCGTCATAATGTCCCGACCTTAAGTTGAACTTCCGGTCGAAAGTTAAAACTAAGAATTTCAGCACTAGTAATGAAAGATACATTTAAATTCTTTAACGTCTTGATGCACGCTCAATCATCCAGGTAAGAAAATCCCTAAAAGTTGATTCTGTGCATCTGGACGTAGAAACATTTCATTATTCAATTAAGTGACTTCTTTAGTCTCAGCTAAATGCAGGCTTCTCCAACCTTATAAACAGTACATTTGCATAATCACTAAAGATAAGATAAGACTTTATTGATCCCACAATGGGAAATTTTTGCGTCACCTCAGCTCAGGTACAGATATATGAAGAAAATACAAAAATACAAATAAGTACAATCAATGAAAAAAAAAAAGTAAGATAATACACTATATATAATGGTAGCATACACAGTATGTGATTATGGATATAGTTGGAAATATGGAAGACATAAACTATATAGCTTGGAAGGTCATGGAAGGTCCATTATGCATGAAGTGGTGACCGTGGATGTTCACAGTGTCCAGTGACTTATGACATCGTGATTGAGGAGTTATAGAGTCTAACTGCTGTTGGGATGAATGATCTGCGAAAGCGCTCCTTCCTGCAGCGAGGGTGTTTAAAACTAGCACCACTGAAAACCAATGGGCTCAGGTCAGTTTAATATGCGAATTGTTATGACCATTGATCAAAGACAATAAGGTTGGAGAAAACTATATTAACCTGAGATAGAGAAGTTACTTGAATGAGTAACAAAACATTCTCCTACTGAAAACGATATGTCCAGATGAACAGAATCAACTTTTCGTTGGGGTGTATTACTGTTAAGTAGTGAAATGATCGGAAACACGTCACAAAGCATGGGCTTGACTAATCAAAATGTCTCACGCTCTAACGAAAATTTAAATACATATATTCACAGTGAAGACTGTACCACACGTACTGGAAAGTAATTGCCTACTAGACAGAAACGTTGCAGTAACTACTACAACCTGTTGTTTTAGCTAGCTGTCGGTTTCTCCCTGCACTGGTCCACCAACCTTCCGGTGAAATTTTCAAAATAAAATGTTCATGAAAAACAACATAAAAACACATCTTAAGAGTATTTAGAGGTTTAATGTTATACAGAATATTCCAGGGATCATTTTGTACACATAAAGGAAAAGAAGCACAACATCCCAATGGTGTTTCCTTTGTATTTCCCATAGAGACTTCACAGGAAGATGCAAGGGATTAGTTATAAGCAACTGCTGTTAAAGGCAAAACAAAATGCTCGCTAGTTTTACAAAGGGATTATGGAAAAATACAAAATTATAAAAGCAAAGTGCTAAATTGTACTACTGTACAATAAAAGACAACATGTTATAATAAAAATAAGTGTGCAGTATATGGCATTGTGCAATACAGTACTTTACAGTTATGGCAAATATAGGAAAGATAAATTTAAACACTACAAAAAAAATGGTTAACCATGCTGAACAATTGAGAAAATTTTACAATAAAAGCATATGAAATACAACACGTAATACAAAACTACATTAACATAACCCTTCAAATAATTTCATGGCTAGGCAGCAACAACAGAGGCAGAAATATTTACGCCTATGGGTAAGAAAAACATGACCAAAAAAAAAAAAAAATCTAATTTAAATAAACGGCTGACAAAGTCTGCTGATGATGGCCTTTCCAATTGCGTCATACTAAATAAACGGACTAATCACAAGCACTGCAAGTATACTAAAATAATAATAATAATAATAATAATAATAATAATAATGGCGTCACAGAATACTGTAGCATTTATACGTGTTTTTCAGTTTATTTTATTTGACAAACACATTTTAGCAGCAGGTAAAATCATATATTGGGAACTAATATTTCACAGTATGTAACAACAGGTGCAAACAATGATTCAGGAGTAAAATTATAAAAGTTACACAAATTGTACACAAATCTCAGAGCAGAAGAAACTGCAGTGGACAATAAACGATTGTGCAACAGATTTTAGGGTCATTTTTGCAACGTTTTTGTTTACAATTTAATCAAACCTGTTAATCGATGAGATGTACTGTATGTAAACACATTGTTACCATTAACCTATCACCTCCAATGATTCATTATTCTTTTGTAAACTATGTGGGATTTGTAACAAAATACCTGGCAAAGCTTTTCACTCATTTTAATACTGCTGGTGAAAACTGATTTGATGAAAATGGATTCTAAAATCCCAAAAGGAAAAAAAAACCAAAACAACAATCCTGCCATTTCACCGTGAGGATCATAAAACTGAACTTTACTCAGATTCTCGGCTGTATCAGGGAAACACTTTACATCCTGTTGCACTGAGGAAAAACGTTCTCCATAATGGCAGCATCTTAAAATGCTCGGTCCTGGAAGACCAAACTAAGGTAATAAATTCCATTGTACAGCTTAAAAAAGGCATGGGACTAGAAATGACCAGACTAAGATGTGGCTTTATGCCATCTTAGTGGGACGGAGGCATTGGGGATCAGTCATCTAACCTCTACAGTCAATGGCTACTCTGTTAAAACGGCCCCATGGCTGAGCTTTCTCTAATTTATGTTGCAGCAGCTCAAGTAACTGATGGTTTTACCCTCTCCAGGCATCGGGGCAGTGTCACTGTTATCCAGCTTGTTCTGCTTCGCCTCTCGAATGAGCTCGCAGGCCAGGTCGAGAAAAAGTTTCTCAACGTTGTCAGACTCTTTGGCTGACGTCTCCAGGTACAGCATGCTCTGAGCCTCGGCAAAGTCTTCAGCCCTCTGCCTGAGGACCTCTCTCTTCTCTGCCAGATCTATTTTATTACCTAAAATAAACATACAATGTCCATTTGTCAACAACAGGGGAAACAAAACTAAACAAAAACAAACCACAAGTCTGGCTTGTTGCAGTCTGACTAAACAGTAGTGGGTGTTTAATGAGAGAGATGAGAATGGGGAGGGATATGTGCATGCGAGCATGTGTGGGATGCATTTGAGAAGACTGCGTTCTCAAAATGACAAGAATAAAAATAAATAAATCTTACCAAACAATGCTGATGACAAAGATAAGCATGAGTTATTCAAGTACAAAACAAAGTTCTTACCGACTAATATAGTCACCACTTGGTTGTTGGCATACTGCTCGATCTCCCTCAGCCACTCTGGAAGGCACCTGAAGGAGTCCTCACAGGTAATGTCATACGTAAGAATGAGGGCGTTGGCACTACGGTAATAACTCTGAGTAATGGAGCGAAATCTCTCCTGTCCAGCTGTGTCCCATATTTGTAGCTGGAAAACATAATATTGTCAAGAATATAGGCAACTGTCCAAACTGCTACAAAACATAAATGCAAACAAAAATGTAACATTGGCGCACCTTGACCTTCTCCCCTTTGATTTCCACAGTCTTAATCATGAAATCTACTCCAATAGTAGCCCCTTGTCCAGGTGGGAAAAGGCCCTACAATTACAAGCAAAACTTATAATTTAACACTTCTGTACTGTGTAATTCAATAGCTACAGACTCAGACACACAGACAGCATACGAACCTGAGTAAAGCGCCGGACGAGACATGTCTTCCCAACTCCAGCATTTCCTATCAGAACTATTTTGAACAGGTAGTCATAATCTTCCATGCTCATACTAAACTAGAAAATAAAGACAAGGAGAAAAGACAGAGGTGAAGCGCTAACGCTATAACTGTAAAATTGCTAACATTTTTCCCCATGTGCTCCAAGCCACAGACATAAAGTCATGAGACACACACACCAAAGATGCTGATGACACTAAAAACTGTTGTGTAACCATCAGGGCTCAGACAACAAGTAAAATTTGAGCTGAATAAGCTTGGGTGAGTAAGCTGTGCCCTTCAGTGTGTGATCTGAATTCATATTGTGCTCATTAGCGGAATTATACCCGACACTAATTGCACTGAAAAAAATGTATCACAGAGAGACATTTCCTTTTCACTAACTATAATCCTATTTCCACAGAAAACAACTGGGCCTACCTATCAAATGACACAACTAAGAAGCTTTATAGCTTTTCTGTAAATACACAAATTTTAAACAGGGCAGTGGCAGGATCATCTCTCTCTTTAACAAGATTCTGCAAGCAGCTGAGAACTTTGGAGCATACCTGCTACAGCTTTTTAAAGCAAAATATTTTCCTATTGAGCTATATTTTCGATTTCAGCTGCTCAAGAGTTAGATGCTTTTCATTTCATTAATGTTGTACATATTTTTAGATGTCGTGCACAGGCCACATGCAGGCCAGTTAAGCACCCAGACTCTTTTATAAAGCTATGGTGTTATACGTGTAGAATGTGGCTTGTTATTTTCTTGCTGAAGTAAGAAACATATTCCCTGACCAAAGAAAAAAAAAGTGTTATGGCAGATACTGGACCAAAGCCTCTAAGTATTATTGAGAATCCCGAGATTCTGGCTGATCCACGTCCAGTTTAGGCCAAAAGTCACGGGACTTATGACTTCAAAAGATAATTTAAAATTTGATTTGCCTGACCAAAGAACAGCTTTCCACTTTGCCTCAGTAAATGAAAGTTTTCCTGAGCCCATGCATGGAACCATATCACCATCATTCAATGCTAACCTTGCCCCTCCAGATTATCTGAATCTTACTTTTCCACTATGCTGCAGATGATAGCATTTTAAAGTTATCTGCAACTTTAATTGTTTTTAAGAATTTGCCACTTGAAAGCTTCTGTTAGATGTTTCCTTATACCAGCTGGCCATGGTACTTATTCACTAAAATAGCTGTGAAATGTTACACTGGAAAGCGTAAAATGTGTCTTTCTCAATTAAATATAAGCTTAGTTTGTCCAGTCTCATTTCAATGGAATAGTTTAGATCACTGTAGGAAAACTGGCATTTTTGGTAAGCATATGACACATGTGTTTCAGACAGTGCACTTAAGAAAATAGCAAACATTTATGTTTCACTCCTCCACAAGATCTCATTTTAGATATTTGATATCTTTTATTTTCTTTTTAGCTCCCGTTTTTTGGGGCCGTGCATCACTCGCATGGAGACATGGAGATTCAAACAATACAACCTGCACAAAGCACAAAACGCAAAGATGCAAGAGTTACTTTGGTCGATGCCCACAAAACAGGGCGTGATCTGAAATGTATGTAAACAATGATAATATAGCACAAGTTTAAATTCTGCAATGCGTTTCTATGTGTGCCCCTACGCTAGAATGGAGAACCGGGCCTTTACGTGCGGAGGAACCGAACATATCGCTGTAAAAACAACATTTTAAGGAAACAAACTGTTGCTTGCAGGAAGATGTGAATCTCTGGTTGACAATGCTGGTACAGAGAAGAAGATTTTGAAGGAATAATTTAACCCTTTCTTGTAGTGATTTGAAACACTTCTTTCCGTGTCGCAATCACATCTTCACCAACATCTTATGCCCTGAAAGGTAAGGAAAAAAAACTGCAGCATCTCGCACATTTCGTAATCTGAAGTAGCTTTATACTTCTGGCTAATTATCCTTCATTTTTAATCTGAGTTGAAAGCCATTCGGTCGAAGCTAGCAACGGTAGCAACTAGCGGCTACAGCGTGTGATTCTGGCCATTTTATCTGCAGATGCAGCAAGGAAAAAAAATCAAAGTCTGCCCTCCGCACCGAGTCAAGAGATAATTCGTACTTACCAAAAACACGGGGATATCCCCGGACTTAGAACTACTTGGCATGCATAGGTCACCTCTTCAAATGGGCAAAGCCGCTGCTGGGCAGGGCTGTGTATCCTCAGGAGCTCAGCACAGCCCGTCTGATAGAGAGACGATGAGGGAGGGGGGGGGCTGCCCTCAATGATGTCATCAGTTCACATGCAAAGTAACGCGTTACATGTACTCACTGCATTCAGAAAAGTACTTGATGGAGTGTGTCTTTTCCCAGTGAAGCTTCAAACATTCAAACGGATGCAGACATCCGTGGGCTGGAAAGGAAAGCATTTTTCTATTTTTCCACTGGTTGTTCTGGGTGGATGCAGCAGAATTCATGGGAAAGAAACTCGGAGGGAATTTTAGATATTAATATTTTTGATCTCTCTCTCTCATGCTGCAATTTTGTTCCATTCTACAGAGCTTCTAGTATTTATACTACGTGGACACTGCAGTTTTATAGATTATAATTCTAACAGGGAAACTCACACAGAGCAATGATAAACAAAAGAGTGAAAGTACAAAGCTACAGAGTTTTGCAGTTTCTACAACATTAGTATATTAAAAGCACGTGTCCTCCTCGGTTATTACCTTAAGCTGAATACGGACTATGTTGTTTTTTTTATTATTGTTTAATTTTTTCTCTTTTGTTTTTCTGATTCCATTAATCTATTTTCCCATTAAGATGTATTTTATGATATTTCTATATATGATGCTAACGTACACATTAATGTAGTAAATATTTTGAAGCGGACTGAACTGTAATATTAACTATGTGGCACATTTTATTTACAAAGACTTTGGCCTACTGTGACTCATGGGCTTTTGTTGCTAGGAAACAAATAATGCGGAACTCAAGCGCTAGTCGTTGGTTGCGCCCGGACCAGTAGTTCGGTTGCACGCCGTGCCCTTGACTTCCTACGAGAGGTGATAGCCGATGAATAGTAGTAGTAGGTATCTCGGAAATTATTAAATAAGGTCTGAACTAAGGGGCACATTTCTCGCCATGGGCTTTATTCCAGAAGAGGGGAAGTCTCTGCCTCCTCCGGGGCTCGTGAACAGGAATTCACTGTGGCTGGCGGGTGTAGGCTGGGTCTCCGCCGTGCTGCACAACGCAATCAACCACAGGCCGCCAGTGAAATCAGGTTAGCATTTTACCTGTCTTTCAGACTGGTGCACGAACGGACGCTTTCCTTTCAAGCATATGAAACACTTAATTTTAAAAAAGAAATCCGAGTATTTAGTAAATAAATGTTCTCTCAGATTAGTAACTGGTTGTGAGCTGTCCACAGTGGTCGCAGCGTATTTACGTTTCCTTTAGCATTAAAATAGCGATAAATATCAAAAACAGTTAAGAAATTTGGACACCATAAAAACAAGATCTTTCATTATCCAGCACATGACACAGAGGATGATTAAAATAAAGTTTTAAATTGAACAAAAATACATGCATAATTTCCTTGGGGATTAATAAAGTATTCTGATTCTGAAATCTAACTAAACAAAATAAACAAAACTGAAAACTAAATGTTCGTTTGTTAATTTTTTTTTTAAAGAAGTCTAGCGTTAAATTTTGTCGTTATTGTTTCTCCCTATCTGAAAAAGAAAGTAGTATTAACATTGGTTGTGCCACATTGGGTTTTGTTTTGTGTTTCCTGTCGTCTTTGTTTTGGTAATATCTAGCTATGAAGTGTTGATATAAAATGCGCTGTCAAAAAGCTAGGTGCAGTAAGCTAAAGTGTAAGCCTCCACCTATTAATTCAATTTGCTTTTGTTTGCATTTTTTGCAATCCTATTTTTTTAAGAGAAAACCTTGTAATGTGCAAGCTTTTGGTTTCTCATAACCACAGTAAGATTTTATTATTGTGCTTTGAAGTATCTTGCAAATATATCTACTTTAGTTTGCTGTATGCTAGTTATATCTGATCAATAAATGTTGCATCGTTTTCCATGTTTTCTCTTTAAGGTGTTCATCGACAGTTTCTGCTGGCAACCATTGGCTGGTTCATTGGCTACCATGTTACCAAATATGAAAATTATACTTATGCTAGACTCGATCGAGACATGAATGAGTATATCAAACTCCACCCGGAAAAATTTGTACCAAAGGGTAAGTTCATTTTTATGTCTTTGCTCTAACCGAAGACACAAGAGCCCAACACTACCTATTCTTTATTATATGAAACCCTTTTTTTTCATTGAAAAAAGAGCTTTTAAACTAACATTCACACACACTTAAGTGGATGCATCAGAAGGCAAGTTTCTCGCCCAAGGATACTTTGACATTCAGAGCCGAAGAATCAGGGATCAAACCACCAACCTCCCGATTAGTAGTACAGCCACAGCCAATGCAGAATTTGTGCTTTGTGAGTGGGCCACCATTCACCGTTCTTCAGCTGATGTAGCTTTCATGATTTTCTTTCAAATTAAATTATACATAATAATCTATTTTCATACATGTCCTTGTTTTCAAAAAACACCAACACAGAACAGGCTCAGCACCACACAGGTGGGAATTATGTTTATGCACACACCACATCGGATTATTTTTTGTTTGTTTGTTGTCTTTGGATGATGTTAAATCCTGTGCAGTGTAGTTGTGAAATAGTTTCTTTAGCGTTTAAGTATGTAATATGTACCCTGTTACAAATTCAAATCCCAGATTGCCTGAAAGCAAGAAAAATAATGCTGTACCTTTAGAATGTGTATCTACATAATTGAAATGTGTTCAAAATGTTCAAAGCTTGAGAAATCCATAATCTTATTTCTAATATTTCAGTCACCTGTCAGTGGAAAATCAACTTTATATTTGATGGCCACCAAGCTTATCCATACAGTAATGTTACGGGGTGATGCAAATTTATTGCAAATTAAATAAATGTAACAAAAAGTAAAGATTACCTCGCCTGTGAAAATGGCTTCTTTCTGAGTCACATCAGATTTTCAGTAGCATTGATGCTGATAGTTACAGCTCCCATGATTCCACACTACTTTCCGGTGCCATCAAACTAGGCTTGATGTTATTGTTTTGATTGAGAAATGCCACGGGGGAAGAAATTAGACTGTGCAGTGCTGTAGGACATTTACTCCGATTAAATCTTATGAAACGTTGGGTCATGTATGTTTGTAATCAAATTGTTGCTTTTGGTTTCTTTTATCTTACCAGAGCAAAAGACCTTTGCTGAGATTGTTGAGCCTTTCCATCCTGTGCGCTAAGCATCAGTGGCTGCGGAGAGAGGAAACATTCACAGTTGCCGCCTGTGTTGAGCAGCCTTTTTGTGAGAGCATTCTGTCATATATTGTTTGAAATATAGATATGTAAATAAAAAGAATAAACTCAACCCACAAACTCAATTTTGTGACTGACTTTATAAGTGAAAACAAAAAGTTGAATTCTTTACAAACGTAGGAAACTCTGATATTCTTTAACAGGTCATCTTTCTTGTGGTGTTTGTTTATATAAAAGGGATTAGAGCAGGGCGATATGACCAAAAATATTTATCACGAAATTTAAAAAGAGATCATTACAAAAGCAAATTAAGAGACACACAATTGATTAATTTTGACAATGTATATTTATTCCTTATTCATTAGGTTTGTCTGGGGTCACTGAATGTAAACATTTCAGACATTTGCAATGGTTGGGTGTCTTAGATGACTCTCTTAAAAACAGATGTCCACATATCTTAGGTTTTGTGACTAATTTGCTATCCCAATAATGTCCATGTATTTCTCAGTGAGAGTCTGCGTCTTCTTGGTGAGGTCACTCATCACAGAAAACAGTCCTCTCACGTGGAAGTGGAAGAGGGCTTCAGGATCTGTGTCCAAGAGAGGCTCCAGGGTCTTGTTTAGTGCTATGTTGTTTTTGGCCTTGTGATCGTCCAGGCGAATTAGGCCACTCTCCACTGTGGTCCGTATGGCTTTGAGCATCAAGTAGTTGCTGAACAGGTCTTTGCAGGTCTCTTCTGCAGCTTCACAGTCCCACACCTCGTCTGAGGGCATGTCTCTCAGCAGGCTTGGCAGAAGAATGGTCTGCTCCATTTCACTGACGGCTGAGCTGTATCGTCTCAGAGCCAGGAACAGGCTGTTTCTCTTGAATTTGGCGTCGGCAGACTGCATGGTTCCCGCTGGATGTGGTCAGTTGTTTGCTTGCTGTCGTGGCAAACAAGTGGAAGCAGTGTGCACTGCAGCGCTGTGAGATGCGAGTTTATATGATGAACCAAGGTGGGTTGAACAGTGCAGTTGTGTAACTGCATCATCCGATACATTTAGAAAGAGGCCGAGAGTTATGTGGAGTCAAACCCTTATCTTTATTTGATTTACACCACCCAGTTCAAAATAGTGGGGGCAGTGTGTACTGAAATGAACCTGCTAATGCTCTGTGTGGTTAATGATTAATGTTGAAAGTATAAAGGAATGTCATGCTTTGATTTCCAAGTACAAAATGAGTTTATGAAGGTACAATAGGCCCAAAATAAAGAACCCTGGATTATTCTGGTATGGTTCTGAAGGCTGTTTTAGAGGCTTTAAACCATTACTTTTCTGTTTCTTTCCCAATAGTTTCTGTGAAACACAAAGACTAATACATCTTAAAAACAAAATCTAGCTTTCTGTTGATTTAAAATGAAGGAATGCAAGAATAAATGGTTCTGTTAGGGCCTGGTTCCCCTTAGAAACTGCATGATTGCTAAATATATTCCACAGATTCTGGGTTTTTCCTGCTCAAGTGGAACTGAAAGCTTTGCAGCCAGTTGGCAGAATTGAGTGTGGTGCCTGAACATGTGTTTTGGTTCTCTCACAAAGATAAATCAATGTTGAAAGCATACTATAACTTTAGGTTATCAGGTGGGATTAAAAAAAAAAAAGAATACTCTTTTTAATAAATAATAATCAGGATATTCAAATAATCAGCATTTGGCTTTCTTTTCATTTTATTTTGAAATGTGAGTGATACAACAGCTGGCATTGCTGAATTACACCATCAGTCTCACCACACTAACATGCACTAGTTCTTCATCTTTTTCTCACAAGGTGGCATCCTTGAGCTGGTTCAGTTGTCAAGCAGTAAAAATGAAACAATACCTCTAAATGCTGCATCTTATTAAATAACTGTGCTTGTTTGTTTCCTCAGTTTTTAGCTTTTCTAATCTATATATCTTATTTTTATCTATTTTCCTAATTCTCTATTTGAAGCTGGTTGACGCAACAACAATGTGGTAAACTTTGCATGTTACTCTTAAAGTTACTTCATTGATTAAAGGAAATTATTGCAGGTTTTGCAAAATGGAATCTGTCATGTCTATGCCTGGATCTTTGGTAAAAACCAAAGAATCCTTTGCTAGTGTAGGGGGTTATTAAAAAAATAAACAAATGTACTGATTTTAAGGCAACCTTAATTGGAAGATATTTTAAAACTTCGGATTTTTTGTACATAATCACAAATATTTTAGTGTCCATTAGTGTTTTTAACCAATAATGGACTTTTCTTTCAGATTTTACAAACTCGTCAACACAAAACTACCAACAGTCCCTGCGAGTGTTGTAGACTAGACTGTAAATACCCCAATACTCTGTTTATGCTGTAACTATTCAGAAACTGACCATTTGTTTTAGGAGTCTTTAGAATCATTAGTCAGAAATTAGCTCCTTATAAATTAAATAAAAGTGATTCTTTTAACCTTACTTTGCACACTCTGCTGGGCCCATGATGAGACCCTAAAAGCAGTTTTACTTCTTCTTTTTTTCACCAAGCCTCGCCACAATTGGTAAAGTGTTTTTAAAAAAATTAAAAAGTAAACTGTACAATGACTCTGAGGGCACATACAGGTTAACAGAGTTGAGGAAGTTATCTGCTTCATTCTGTTGCTTCATTCTGCATGTTATCTGGTGATATGCAGAGAGATATTTGTGTGCTCCTGCTCTGTCAGTTTGGGTTTTTGCAGTCTGAGGTGGGACTCTGTGCATCGTCAAGTCCATACAGTCTTTAAAGTCTGGGTGATGTCAGTTCTTCGGCTTGTTGTTTACTGACTCAGTTCAGAGCTTTCCTCCGTTGACCCTTGACAATAATTTCCAAGACATGAGTTAGATCCATCATCTTAGTGAGCATATCCATGATGTCAGGGTGCTCCCTTGCTCCACTGATGAATTCTTCCAGCGTCAGCTCACCTGAGAGAGAGAGAAGTGGCACTCTGTGCATTTAAAGCTGTGATTTTATGGAAATAAATCACAAAGCAGAACATTTCACAACTATCAGAATGTTTACTCATGCTTTGTATTCATTTCACTCTGGTCACGGTGACAAAAGCCTTTTATCACTGGTTTCATTCTTGATACCCTTTATACACAATCATGCGTTTGTTACCTTCTCCGTTGACATCAATCTTCTCATATATAAGATGCACAATCTCTTCTGGAGGGATGTTGTAGCTTCTGGTGATGTCTTGAATGGCCTAAAAGAGAGTCATGTAAACAAGGTGATCATTGTATGGCTTTAGTCAGGAGTTAAGAATCAGCCAAATTGAAAACAGAGGTGAATTAGGAAGCCGTTGGATTTAGGTGCTGTGGCTACTTATGTGCGCTTCCAGAGTTAATCTTCAAGGCACCATTCAGAGAATTCTGAGAAGCTCACTACTTTGGATGCAGAAATCTGATTAGGAAGATTTCAGAGAAGGCATACTCTACCTTAAATATAGTTTCCAGTTCATCCTTGTCAATTTTTCCATTTCCATCCTGATCAAAGAGCTTGAAGTACCACTTTAGCTTCTGATTTATTTCTCCTTTCAATAATAAACTAATGCCTGCAATATATTCAACAAAGTCTATGTAGCCATCCTGTAAAATAAAAAAGGGAAAGGAGTGTAAATCTCAGATCATTTACTGAAAAAGCAAAACTTGTTTACTTCAAAGAATAATTACCAAATTCTGAATTAAATAATTAAGTTTTTTATCTTTGCAAACAAGGGCTACAAGTGCAGCTAATTTCAAACTAAGCTATATCAGATATTTAGAGACACTAAATTTAATACTTATAACTTTTTATCCTTTAAGTTGGAACAAACTAAATGATTCAGAGCATAAAATGTATTTTCTTTTGAACTCTTGTAGAAAAGAAAATCTGAGATCTTCATAATAATTGATGCATTCTACAGTATTACATACTGATAAAGACACCATTGAACTATTTGCAAAACTGGTCCCCCCTGATCTGCATTACTCTATACTTCAAGTTTCCTGGTATTCTTCATGTGTTTCTTCCACCCAGTTCATATCCTCCAATATTAAATGTTTTCATACCCCATCCATGTCAAAGGTGACGAAGACCTGGTCCACATAACTGCTGGCCTCCTCTGTCATACCGTTCATTTCGAGCATTGTCTTCAGCTCAAAGAGCGTGATGAGCCCCGAAGGAGATTCCCTCATGAACTTTGTGTACCAATGGTGCATGTCCTCCTCCAGGATATCATCCAGGTTGGAGCCGTGGGCACCCATTTTCACTCCAGATGATTGGGACTTTTGTCCAAAAACCCGTAGAGAGCTGCTGATAAAAGTGAATCCACAGAGGAAAGTGTAGCACCTACTCTGAGCTCTGAGTAACAACAACCTCCTTAAGCTTTATGTGTCTTGAGGCAACTAAAAGGAGACATAACCCTTTAATAGGATAAGCAGAGAATCTCGCTAAAACGTCAGGGCAAAGTGTGTGATTGAACTAGTTTCCATTGGCACAAAGGAACTTCCTGCAGGGGTCACTTTCAGAGAAAGCATAGAGCATAACTTTCAGAGAATGGGTTTGTTTTTGGTTCGTTAAGCCATTTGACGGCCATCTATGAATAATTCAAGTATTAAATAAAGCACCAAATACTAGGGATGAACCCATGTTGTGTCTACATATATCAGAAAATTTAGCAAAAAATGATTTGAAATTGTATCTTTAGGTACTGTGTTACTAAAAGCCTATAATAAAAATATATGTTATCTATCTTGTCATCTAAAGATCTGGAAACCTTATCGACGCCTTTATTTCCTCACGTCTTGATTACTGTAACTCTCTCTATTTAGGTGTCTTATCTCAGACAAGCCTGTCCCGTCCCAAAGTTTGGTATTATTTATGCCAAATATGTATGCATATGAATGTACGTTTTCCTGACTCCTAATAACTTTGATTTTGGGATTTTCTCCTACAAGTCGTGAATAATCAAATCTTGTCATTTCTATGGCTTTCTGCCACCCCAGTGTTTGACGCTTATAGGCTAATTGTGCTTGCATTTCTAACAATGGCGAGCAAAAAGGAGCTGCCTTTGCCAAGACTGATATTTTTAATCATCAGTCAGCTAGACTTCTTCAAGCATAAGTTTAATAATGATGCATTTTCCATGTGAATTTAATCTCAGCATGATCTGAGTTTTTAAGAATACAGAAAAATGTTGCACACACATTATACGCGTTCTTCGAGCACTGTTGACCTGTCACTGAACTCTGTGACTGGTCTCTGATCTACCATGAAGTAAAAAACAAAACAAGGCTATCAAAGCTCAGCGTGCCTGTTAGAGTAAATCTGGCTTTGGATGATTACTGATTCTTAAAATAGCATTCAGAAGAAAAAGCTCCTTTACTACAAGCAAGACATGCAGTTGCTACCTGTTAGACATAGACAGCCAGAATGGTGCCCATGAGCTATCACTGCTGCCAGCATATTTAGTAAAATGTTTACTTAGAGAAAAAAAATCCCCTCCGCGACTCTAAATACAGCACAGAGCAAAGTTGTCCAGTCTGGATCAATAAATTCCGTCTCAACAAAAATGTGCCAATATCTGCAATATTTGGGAATTTCAAAGAGCAAACAGGGCGGTGTGGTTTTATGTCCAGCTGTTGAAATGTTTTGGATCCCACAGATGCGCTGCTGTTTAAACTTAACCTTTTGACCACCATGTGACTGTCATGCAGGATGGCTGTTTGTGAACATGTAAAACTGTATTTCCCCGCTAGGAAAAAGAAGAACAAGAAATAAAACTCAGCATTTCTTTCCATATAGTGTTATTAGTAATTCGTGTAATACATAATACTTCCTTTTCTCGGGAAGTCTCTTTTGTTGTTTGAGAAAATTGCTGACGTAAAATTTGTTTTAGTGAAATGTGCAGCTGTGTAAATGATGCAATGTAAGTTCCATGGAAGCAACACCACAGTTGTTAAATCACATAAGTATTTGCATTATTGCATCAGTTGTAAAAAGGGGTTAGCCTTTTAAAGGAATGACTGT